TAAAATTCAGGATGTGCCCGAGGTTGCTCTGGCGGGAAAAATGAAAGTGATGGCCTCGCACGTTCTTGATAGTTGCACGTTTGGACAGCACACTAGATGGGAACCGATTACCACGTGGAGTGTGTCCTTAGACACCCTCGAAGGGGAGCTGAGGGAGAGAGGCTGGGGAGTCTGCAGGGAAGCGCACTCCCACATGGGACTTGACGGGAGAGCGCTAAACTGGCAGAGTGATTTGCACGCAGGGTTCTACGATGTGTTCGCGTCCGCTGTCACACATGAGTGGAGGAAAGGGTTGCTGTGCAGTGATGTGGGTGAAGTGGTGAATGTGCTCGGGGGTGGATTCGAGTTCTGGAAGCCCTTGGACCCGTTCCCTGCATTGTAACGGCCCCCGCTCTCTTTTTTGTTGTTGGCCTCCGTGTTGGACTTGACCCCTGATGTCTAACTGCACGTGCCCTGCAGCCCTGCTCCGTAGGAGCGCTCTGTCCATTTTCCCTTGCCCTGCACCCCACACCTAGGAGAGGCTTCGACTCGAACCGGCCTTTAGTTCCGACCGACCGACCGACCGACCGACCGACCGACCGACCGACCGACCGAGACCGAGGAGGAGGAGGAGGAGGAGGAGGAGGAGGAGGAGGAGGAGGAGGAGGAGGAGGAGGAGGAGGAGGAGGAGGAGGAGGAGGAGGAGGAGGAGGAGGAGGAGGGAGGAGGAGGAGGAGGAGGAGGAGGAGGAGGAGGAGGAGGAGCGAGGAGCGAAGAGCGAGGAGCGAGGAGCGAAGAGGAGCGAGGAGGAGGAGGAGGAGGAGGGAGGAAAGGAGGAGGAAAAGGAGGAGGAGGAGGAGGAGGAGGAGGAGAGGAGGAAGAGGAGAAGGCGGAGGAGGGAGGATGAGGGGGAGAGGAGGAGGAGAAGGTGGGGGAGGGAGGAGGAGGGGGAGAGGAGGAGGAGGAGGAGGAGGAGGAGGAGGAGGAGGAGGAAGAGGAGAAGGCGGAGGAGGGAGGAGGAGGGGGAGAGGAGGAGGAGAAGGCGGGGGAGGGAGGAGGAGGGGGAGAGGAGGAGGAGGAGGAGGAGGAGGAGGAGGAGGAGGAGGAGTCCGAAAAAACCTTGCGGTTTCCGTCCACGCGTTTGCGAGGCGGTTTTGTTTTTCTCTTGCGATCCTCTCGCGAGGCTCCCAAGGTTGGAAAGGCACTGGCTGGCCTGCCGCGCAAGAGTGCGGGGTGGGCGGAAGCCTGCAGCCATGTACCTTTCCCAGGGCTCCACCTACGGGGGAGCTCCTGCCCCACCCCCACCTCAGTGGGGTGCGATGCCTGCCATGGCGCAACCCATGATGCAGGCCAGCCCGGTTCCTATGATGATGGTGCCGCAAGGTTACCAATATCAGTCACAGGACTCGGGCGGAGCCGACTGGAACCAGTCCGGCAAGGGGAAGAAGGGTCAGGACCAGGGGTTGGTCAACCGTATCCTCTCCCAGATCCGGTCGTCTTGCATACGCCCAGGACAAGTTCTTACGATCGCACGTGAGTGCGCAGTTGTCCTTGGCGCACGCGAGCCTCGGCTGCTCAATGAGCTCGTCAGCGGCCTAACCAATGGAAAGGTCGTTGAAGTGGACGCCTCAGAAGCCGCCCCGCCCTCGGGCAAGGGGCCTTCGGGATCGTCCGCAAAGAGCGGGACTGCCGAGGCCGCGTTGATCACAGAGAGGAAGAAGCGATGGCTTGCTCTCTGCGAAGAAGACGAGACCGTCTGCGACATGCAGGCGATGATCGAGGCCATCAAGGAAGTCGAAGGCAAGAATGCCTCCGTCGACGAGGTTCTGATGCGTGACGGTCGTCACGAGGACCTCGGATGGCTAATTGCAGCCAGAGTCCACAAAGAGGAATTGCTTGCTCTTGCTGGTCTGGCTCGCAACGAACAGGGTCAGCTCACGCTGGCCGTGGACGCTACTTCGGAGGGCACTGGGGACGCGAGCACCCAGTACCGTCCGCCACCGCGCCCATCAGCTCCGGCGCCTCAGGAGAAATCCGAGGAGTCGCGGCGGCTGGGCGAGATGGAGAAGGCTATGCAGTCCATGGCAGAGGCCATTGAGGCTCTCACCCGTGATCGCACCCAAGAAAAGGGTGCAAACCGGACGAGATCTCGTGGCCCGGATGTAAAGAAATGGACGGATCTGATGGGGGATGGAAAATTATGTGGAGGGTTTTTTGCTGTGCCTGGTCTGAGAGGGACCCTTGGGGCCCGTGTGAAACCTCCGAGGAATCGTGAGTGCGCCTGGGGCCGACCCAATTTGAACGCCAGAGAGCGAAGTTGTGTCAAGGCCGAGAACAAATACTTGAGAGACTGTCTCGAGCTCGCTTGTGCGGCCGCCTTGCACAAGGTTCCGTGGACTTCGATTGTACAGCGCGAAGTTGGACATGGTTGTAAAATTCAGGATGTGCCCGAGGTTGCTCTGGCGGGAAAAATGAAAGTGATGGCCTCGCACGTTCTTGATAGTTGCACGTTTGGACAGCACACTAGATGGGAACCGATTACCACGTGGAGTGTGTCCTTAGACACCCTCGAAGGGGAGCTGAGGGAGAGAGGCTGGGGAGTCTGCAGGGAAGCGCACTCCCACATGGGACTTGACGGGAGAGCGCCAAACTGGCAGAGTGATTTGCACGCAGGGTTATATGATGTGCTCGCGTCCGCTTTCACACATGAGTGGAGGAAAGGGTTGCTGTGCAGTGATGTGGGTGAAGTGGTGAATGTGCTCGGGGGTGGGTTCGAGTTCTGGAAGCCCTTGGACCCGTTCCCTGCATTGTAACGGCCCCCGCTCTCTTTTTTGTTGTTGGCCTCCGTGTTGGACTTGACCCCTGATGTCTAACTGCGCGTGCCCTGCAGCCCTGCTCCGTAGGGGCGCTCTGTCCATTTTCCCTTGCCCTGCACCCCACACCTAGGAGAGGCTTCGACTCGAACCGGCCTTTAGTTCCGACCGACCGACCGACCGACCGACCGACCGACCGACCGACCGAGGGAGAGGAGGAGGAGGAGGAGGAGGAGGAGGAGGAGGATGGAGGAGGAAGGAGGAGGAGGGGGAGGTGGAGGGGAGGAGGAGGAGGAGGAGGGGGGGGAGGAGGAGGTGGAGGAGGAGGAAGGAGCGAGGGTGAGGGAGCGAGGAGCGAGGAGGCGAAGAGGATGCGAGCGGAGGAGGAGGAGGAGGAGGAGAGGAGGAGGAGGAGGAAAAGAGGAGGAAAAGGAGGTGGAGGAGGAGGTGGAGGTGGAGGAGAAGAGGATGGAGGGCGCGAGGAGGATGAGCGATGAGGGGGAGAGGAGAGGTGGAAGAAGGTGGGGGAGGGTGGAGGTGGGGAGAGGGGAGGAGGAGGAGGAGGAGGAGGAGAGAGGAGGAGGAGGAGGAAGAGGAGAAGGCGGAGGAGGGAGGAGGAGGGGGAGAGGAGGAGGAGAAGGCGGGGGAGGGAGGAGGAGGGGGAGAGGAGGAGGAGGAGGAGGAGGAGGAGGAGGAGTCCGAAAAAACCTTGCGGTTTCCGTCCACGCGTTTGCGAGGCGGTTTTGTTTTTCTCTTGCGATCCTCTCGCGAGGCTCCCAAGGTTGGAAAGGCACTGGCTGGCCTGCCGCGCAAGAGTGCGGGGTGGGCGGAAGCCTGCAGCCATGTACCTTTCCCAGGGCTCCACCTACGGGGGAGCTCCTGCCCCACCCCCACCTCAGTGGGGTGCGATGCCTGCCATGGCGCAACCCATGATGCAGGCCAGCCCGGTTCCTATGATGATGGTGCCGCAAGGTTACCAATATCAGTCACAGGACTCGGGCGGAGCC